TATTTTTAATCCCTTATGTATTTATAGTTAGTATATCTTTTATGGGTTGATATACTTAATTCACTATAAACAATGCTCTGATACCAATCTGTCACACCCCAAAACCGAGAACGGCGGAAACGTTCTGGGGCGGAGGACGTCATGTATAATATCAACAACAATGTAAAGTAGTAAACAAGCAACAACATCATCCATTGCATTAATAAAATAATTATTATACAATTGTATTCTGTCAAATTTTGATAAACACTAAAGCATAAATCAAAATGAAAGATAAGTCTTGAACAAGCTCCATCTTCCTTTCTCCTTGCATCGGTACCTGTCTATGATGACCTGAGGATACAAGTAATTTTGAAAGCGAGTATCAGCTTTGAAGCTGGTGAGATCATAAGTATTTAGTGTCTTAATTTGCATGTAAGAATTTGTAAGTGAACTGTAAGTATGAAAATGTTTGTAAAACAACTGTAAACGTTTGAAAAACCTTAGAAATCCCTATGATTCCTACTATTATATAAAGTGCGTCTTCTACCAAGACCTAACTGTTCTAAATGTTCGTTTCTTGTAAAAGTGTGTAATTTTCCCAAGTGTAACTATCATTATCAAAATATAGTTTGTACATTAAAGTTTAAGTGAGGGTATCACTAAAAATGTAATGGGTAAATCATTGTAGTACTGTAGTTTTGTATTATAGGAACTACTGCTGTACTAACTACCTTAAACTGGATTTATATTAAGGTATAATGTGATAATTGCACCATACTATCGACTGATAACAACGACATAAAGAACGGTCGTAAATAATGGAATGACGTTTGGCACCGCAGACCTGCAGGTCCGGCTGTAGTTAGCAGCAAGGTGTAGGATTATCAATCCAGTATAGATCTATACGCAAACTCAACTGTGACATCCCCAAAATCACGGCCAGAAAAGACCGATTTTCATTTATGCTTTTAAAATAAATTCAGAGTAAATCCTTTTGATGTGAAAGAGTTGCGGAATTTGTTCCCAAAACAAAACATGATAAAATAATATTTATCAGAGCATTTCATCAAGAGATGCATTTTCATTATATAATTAAAACTCGGGGTGTCATGTTCCGATACAGACCATTAAGCATAAACAATAACATTACAAGTCATTTGAACAAATATATACATATACAGACTTGTAAACAAAACAACTTGATGGTTCGTCCATCTTACGCCCTTGTGCCACTTCCTGTAATACAGATAAAACTAAGTGGTCAGGCTTGGGAGCCTGGTGA